GAGGCTTTGCAGATACGACACATGGTCTTTGCCCAAAGCAACTGTGTTTACCTTGAAGCATGTGTCGGACGTGATCTCTGGCCTTCGTTGAGATTCCAGGTCCGATCCAACTGAGTGTTCGCAGTAGACGGGAACCTACCACCATTAAAGTCGGGCACTTTCACTGTGAATGCTGGATCCGGATGGTGGCCATGACCGACCTTCTCTTCAAGAGGTATCTCCTCGACAAAATCGTCATCCTCTCTTTCAATGTTTTCATCCTCCCCTTCCTCCAACATCTCAGCAGTTTTCGAAGGCACACCATACAGTGAGTACTTTTTCGGTCCAGTAAGGTGTATAGGTTTCATCTTAAATAAAATGTCAAAAGAAAAATGCGAAGCAAGCATTATATAGACACCTTCAGGCGAGTTATTTAGTATTTACGGAAAGGATGCTTAATGATCGAGTTGTCAACAAAATAAATATTGCTGAACTATGCAGGTCTCTCGTGGAAGAATTATCTCTAATAAGTGAAAATTTCCGACGCTGTCATTAATCCGTTCTATGCTTTTATATCTGAAGCCCCGGCCTTGTGCGCTCTGCCAGTACGAAAGAAAGCAGTCGCAGCGAATTCACATCAAAGCTATTACTAGTCAGATGGCTGTTATACAAGCGTATCGCCCTAATACCTCACACAAGTTTTCAAAACAAGTTTTAATTAACTTCGGCTTTTGAAAAAAAGCCTTATTTAAAAATAAATTTCCCACTGCATTCAACTGCAAAGAAATCGCAGAACACGAGGAGTACCCCAACAAACCCATAAGGCATAAACCAAGACAGGCTGCGCACACTTCCAGCCTAGAAACAAGTAATTTGTGTGCTGAAGGGGACGCATCAGGGAAAGTGCGCAATTCGTTTGCAATTACTGGACCCATTAATTTTCAAATTATAATTACCATAAAACAGAGCTAGAGGGACACACGACTACTCCTGACAGCCACCAAATTCTTACTTTCTACTTAATGTGACTAGAAAAACAGTAAAATCCTCCATAGCATTTAGAGGATTTTAGCAGTTTTGCTTAATTTAGTTGACCTAATTGTGAAAAAACTCGCCAGGTCGGCAGGAGTCGAACCCGCACAACACGCAAGGCCTATCGCAGCCAACGCTCACTCTGCCACTTGAGCTTTAACGCTATGCCTTGCTATGCGTGTTTGAATCCTGCCGTCGCCGCGAGTGTTTTCAAAATTGTTCCAACTAAATTCCCATACCGTTTAGGGTACTTCACGTTTTCTCAGTGCGACAATGAAGCATAACCTAAAACCCATTCGTCCCGTCACCTTTCTCAGGGACTATAAAGGCATACAGTAGACGATACGGTGGATATTAGCTTCAAACATAATGAACCCGGTTTAGTGTCGTGTAATCCCCTCCCCCCATTTAAGCATTACAAACTTAGACGAGGAAAAAGGCGTGTCGAGCACCAGACCAATTGATTTATTGTTCTGAGCTTTCGAACTCTTACAGGAATCCATCTTCAGTCAATTCAGTTCAGTCCACCTCTGAAGATAGACTCCTGTAAGAGTTCGAAAGCTCAGAACAATAAATAAATTGATCTGGTGCT